GGCCCAGGAGCTCACCTCTGGGGTTCCACTTCCTTTCTGTGAAATGAGACCACCCAACCATTCACCCTGAGTCCGTGTGCAGTAACTCCTGGTGTTGGATGCTCGGGCTTCTTCAGCTTGGAGACATGCTTTACCCTGATGTGTGGGGAACTGCTGATTGCTCGGAAACAAACCAACAGTGCAGCTGAGACTCACGTGAACCCACCGAACGAATGTGTTTGGACTGAAGACGCGCTCAGCCACACTTACCCTCTGCTATTTGAGGACATTAGTGGGGAGGGAGTTTTCTCAAGAAAAAGTTTACACCCCACGGACAGAAACACAACTCCATTCAACCCCTTTACATCAGATGCCCTTTACCCCAGGAAGTCTCCTGTGACAGATGCTAAAAAAAAAAAAAAAATCCACACCCCTTTCTGAAAATCAAGGAAAGACAAGAGAGAGAGAAAAAAAGGATCAAGTATCAGCAATGAAAATGCTGACTGAGACCCAAGATTAAAAGATAGAAGTGCGGGTCCTCCCTTCACGTCGACCCTGTGCAGTCTGCGGGCTTATCCTCTGATGCTCTCACTAGGAACCCAGAGCCACAGGGAATGAACAGGTGCGGGAGGAAGCAGGATGGCTGCGGATCCCCAGTCAGGCACAGGTGAGCCCTCTAAGCACCATCGCTCAGAATCGGCTTCTCCTGACAACAGTCCATATCAGAAGTGCATCTTCTGTGTGCCTTTTTTTATTGTTGGTTTTCCTTTCCTGATTGTAAAGGTAATATGTGATGAACACAGGTATAGGTTTGTGTATAAAGTATAATGAGGAAATAAAAATGTGTTCATCCCATAATCCAGCAAGAACAACCCTTTTCTCTGAACACGCCTCCCAGGTGCCCTCACCCCATCCTACTCTGGGTGAGGACAAAGGGTGTGGCCCCTGCCCCCACGGAGCCCTCACCCCCACAGAGGGTGCAGGGCCCTGCAGGGACGGTCTGGGAGAAAGTGGTCTTGTCCCAAGGTGCACAAGGCAGGGCAGGGAGGATTCTGGAAACAAGGGCCAGGGAGGGCCTTTCTGGAAGATGCCGTCCACGCGGAGGATGAGAGGGGAGTCTCCCAGGCAGAGGGAGTGCACGGCACAGCCCAAGGCTGGAGATAGGCAGGGGGCCTCGCCTGGGAGCAGAGTGGGCCCACGAGTTTGGAGCCGAGCGCATAGACCCTCGGCGGCAGGACGTGGCTCGTGAGGTGAGGGTGAGAACAAGGTCTCACAAGTTTCTGCAGACCTCGGTGAGTTCTTTTCTTTGCTTTTTTTCTTTTCCTTCTCAACAAAGGAGAAAGTGAACCCAGGTTTGTCTTCAGTAACTCAAGAGATGATGATCCGATTCAGGGAGCTAAAAATGTGAAAGAAACAGACAGGGTGGACACGGGGCTGAGAGGCTGGTCTCCCTGTTCTATCCAAGGCAGGCAGTGATCTCAGGACATTTTAGGTTAACTGTTTGGAGATGGTGTGTCATGGGTAGGGGGATGTGAGTGTCTGGAGCTGAAGGAAGTGATTGGGACCAGACATGCACAGTTATAAGTCACTAGCATGAGCAGGAAACTTAAGGTGATGGAGATGGATACACTTAGGGATGGAGTGGAGATAAAGACACAGAGAAGATGCAGAATCAGCTTCTGAAAAGTCAACGACTGGAGGTCAAGTTGAGAAGAAGCCGCTGGAAAGATATAGAGGGACACACCAGGGAAGCAAAGGCCGAGAGAGCCATCCTGTCATCCAGCAGAAGGTTCCAAGAGGAGCTCTGTCAAGGCTGTGTGGTGACCCAGAGGTGGGGAAAACACAAGGTGGGTGGACAGGTGACTCGGCCTCAGGTCGCCCCAGACTGGCCATGCTAGAGCACGGGTCCTCCCTCGTTAACACCAACAGTGCGGCATGCAGCCATCCCTCCTCGTCAAGCCCTCTGCTATGTGCCAGGTCCCAGGCTGCTGAGGGTGGTCTCCTCGGCTCTCACTCATCCAGGCTGCTCTGGGCCCCCCCAAGGCAGCCCCAGCCTGTGCCAACAAGAGGGACATTCAATGTCCTGCTGATGACGTCATCCACGTGGTGGAAACCTGGCAACCCCTCGCCTACCCTTCCCACTGTCTCTCAGGACAAAAGTCAAGCTCGTTAATCTGCAAGGCCACTGGTTGGCATTCAGGTTCTCTCCTGTTTAAGGCTGCCGTGTACCAGGGGTACCAGGACTTCTTACACTTTGAGGACTTTTCTGAGATGCTTCTTTGGATGTACAAATGGGCTGGAAATTGAAGATCGAAGTAAGCTACTTTAGAAAACAGAAACACAAAACCCATCTAAGATGAGATAGAGGGGAGCAATTACTAAAGACGAGAGAAGTTATCAAGGAAATAAAAAGCAGGTAGTAGAGGAAATCAGTAAATGTCAAACGTGGTCCTTTGAATTAACCGACAAGAGAGACAAAACTACAAACGGATTGAAAAAAAGTGGAAAAAGTCTAAGTGCATAATATCAGGAGTGAAAAGATGGAGGCATCACTGCTGAGCCTGAAGACATTCAAAATACAGGCAGGTTGTATCATTTCCTGTTGCTGATGCAACGAGTTGCCACATACTAGGTGCTGAAAGCATGGATCTGGTATCCAGAGGTGCAGGGGGTCTTAAGGAGTGGAAGGGGTGGGGGGCTGCACGTGTTCCGCCTGGAGACTCTCGGGGTGTCTGTGTCCCGCAGGTGTGTCCGCTCTGCTTCTCCTCTAACTCAAACCCTCCTGCCTCCCCC